TGCTAAAGCTAAAAGCTTGGCAATGTGTTGACTTTTGTGTTGTTCTTTCTAAACCCCAAACCATAATATGATACTTTGATATCATTTCTTGGGTACCTCCTACTTGATAGGCTCTGTAGTAGGTACCATCTCATTTAATGTTTACAACAATCCTCTGTGCAACCTATTATTGGCCTGTTTTCCAGATAAGGAAGCTGAGGCACAGAGAAGTTAAATAGCATGCTCTTGGTAACACAGGCAATAAGTGGCAGAGTCAATATGCACTACTTTCAGCTTCCTCAATGTATCTCAAGTGGTTGACTAGAACTTTTCTTCTCTATCTGTTTGACTTACTTTTTTTTTTTTTTTTTTTTTGAGACGGGGTTTCACTCCTGTTGCCCAGGCTAGAGTGCAATGGCACAATCTCAGCTCACTGCAATCTCCACCTCTGGGGTTCAAGTGATTCAAATGGAACTTAGAGACCATTTGATTAAATCCCTCAGAGGAAAGAGAATTCCAGAAAGATACAGCAATTTACCCAAAATTCTGCTGCTAGCAAACAGTAGCCTATTTCTACTTTATTGACTCAGCTTCTCTCTATCATTTTGCCTTTTTGGGGTCGGGTTGATCTCCATTTGGGTGGGTGGTTATACCTGAGAGCCTGGGCTCTACTGACTTGTCTCTGGAGGCACTCAAGAGGGCTCAGTGCTGTGCCTCACTTCTTCAAGGTCATCCAAGACTGACTGTAAGACAGTCTCGTTATCTGGTGTTGTAACCTCAGAGCAGCCTGCAGCGTGATCAGTCACTCACTGAACAGAACAACAGCCAATTCTGTCACCCGTCCAAGGATTTGTAGCTTAGCCATGACATCTGGGGAAAGTGTTTACAGAGTCCAGCGCTGGACTCACTGAAGACATGTACTCACATCTGGAGTCTAGACAGCGTGGCTCTCTCATCTGGGCTCACAGCTTCTTCACACCTCCTGCACTTCTTTCTGACTGCTTCTTTACCCCGGTTTTCATTTTACTAAAGCTTCTTCCCTACCGCCATGTGCTTCTCTCTCTTGTTTTCTTCTTCCATTTTTTTTTTCTTTTTTCAAATCACATTGGGCTTAAGTTTTTCCAGATAATCCTGACAAACTTCTTAGAAACAGGTTTTCCCAACAGTGAGGAGATCATACAGGCATAACGTCATGGTAGACAATGTCCTAGCAACATTCTGATACAAGGTTTTCTACTGACCAGTTGCATGACCTTAAAAAAAATATATCACTGTGGCTTGGTTTTGAAAAAGTTAGACTATATTTGGTGCAGTCCAAATGTATGTTTTTTTAAAAAGCAACAAAATCCTTTCTTCAAATAAAATTGTATGAGGAACATCAATATGGGGAAAAATGAAGAAAAGCTTTTCTGATTAACATGAGGGAGGGGGCAGAATAACTTTTTCACCTTCAAGAATCCCTAATGAATGCTGGGAGCAATAGAGCTCCTGGCATGCACAAATGGAAAATCTTTGGCCTGGATGATCTTGGAAGTCTTTTCTATTTGGTAGGTATGGCTGAAACAATAATGCTCATCACATATACTCTTTGTACCCTACACTCCTCAGCACCTTGCAGCTAGGTTTTGCAATGCAAATAGTTCTGGCCAATGTGGGCAGACATGATTTGTCATTACTGAGTCAAGACAGTAAAACTCATGTGATTCTTGTAAGATACAATAAATCTTTCTGAGTTTATCTTCCAAGAGTTTAGCCTGTTAACTTCCTTATCCTTTGTTCTCAAACTCAACTTTCTTGTTCTTCCTTGCCCCT